TTACTTTAAAAATAATTCGAAAGTTTTAATTTTTTTAATAAAATATTATTAAAATAATATAATATTTGTTTACTTAATTTTTTACAATACCTCGAATGGAATCTACATGAAAATTACAGTGAAGTTTACCGCACAGAATATTCACCGCATTCTCGACAAAGTAAAATTAAGTGGAGCCCACATCCGAGTCAGAGCCGACGTGGATTCTTCAAAAATAAGGCAATGTTTGGCTTGTAATTTCTCCGAGACTGCTCGCCCTCTTCCTGTCTTCTTCGCTTACACTCACACAGACAGCACAACGACTCACTCCCTCTCTCTATATATAATGCAAATAAATATAAATCTCCTCCTCTCCGTATCCAATTCCATTCTTGTGTCGTACGTATCACCTTCACCCACAACACAAATTCAGAATTCTCTGTAATCTATACTATCAGGTATTTATTCATTGATCCTTTTTTTGGTTTTTTGATTTAAAGTTGATGGTTAGCTCTAGCTTGATGATGGTATTGGTATTTATGAAATGATCTGCTTAATGGGTATTGGTGTTGGACTGAATCTGAGGTTTTTGTTGATCTGGTTGTTGGGTTTTATGAAAGGATTTAGATTTCGTGTTAAATGTTTGATTTTTGTTCTGTTTGTGGGATTGCATTATTGAGTTTTATACTTTTTATGACATTTAGGGAGTTTTGGTTTTTGTGTAATGCGGGTGAGTGCAGCTAAAGATGCCTTCTTTTTTGTTGGATAGAGCTGCCTATTCATTATTCAGGATAACTTTTATTCTGAATTTGCTGTCTTTGTAAATTTTATGCATAGGTATTAGTGTATGGATTCCAAGTCGGTTTTGGATATGATAGAGACCTCCTCACGGGCCCATTTCTCTGGATTTCATATGGATGGCCTGGACTCAAGAAACATTGAGAAACCCACAACCTCACCTTCAGCTGAAAATATGCACAAACAACCTTTTGTTATTGGTAAGTCTCAGCATTGACTTTTTGTTTAATTGCTAGTAACTTAATCTTCTAAATGCAGTGCAAAAATAATTAGATTAGGGAATAGCATGATGCAAAAGTCTGAATCCAAGTGCCAGATTACCTTTGTCAATGATTGTTGACATTGAAAAGCAATGTAGTTGTTTCAGGTTTAGGACAATAGAAAGGCCTTTCTAGTCATGCACTAGTTAAGTATATCTGTTTATCACCTCTAGCACAGGTGTGGGTGTGTTTCATGCTTTAGCCATAGAGTGTATCAGAAAAACAGCCTTGCAAATTAAATTCACCCTATTTGCTCAGCTTCCCTTCTTAGTTTCTTCTAAATTATTCCTTTTTCATGTAATCATTTTGTGTTCCATTATTTTCTGGGAAGGGGTTGCTGGAGGAGCTGCATCTGGTAAGACTACAGTCTGTGATATGATTATTCAACAGCTTCATGACCAGCGTGTAGTTCTCGTTAATCAGGTAAATTTCTTGTGTTACAAACACCCTCAAACACTTACTTTTGGAGTCCTTTTCTTTTTCCAGAATATTTTGGAGCCGTTAGAGTGTGATATATATTTTATTGCAACCTCAAAAATATGCCAGGATTCATTCTATCACAATCTCAGTGAAGAGGAACTTGCAAGAGTTCATGAATACAACTTTGACCATCCTGGTGAGAAACATTTCTACAATTTAGATACAGACTTTCAAGGAAACTGGAAACATATATTTATTTTTCTTCTTCTAGCTTTTGCTTTATGTTAGATTGGAACTCTTATTATTCATCAAAAGAAAGTTTGGAATTTTTATTGCTCTTATGTCAGATGCGTTTGACACTGAGAAGCTATTAGATTCAATGGATAAGTTGAGGCACAGCCAAGCAGTAGATATTCCAAAATATGACTTCAAGAGTTACAAAAGCAATCTGTTTCCAGCAAGAAGGGTATGGTTTGGAGACGTCCAGCAAATACTTTATTCAACATCTAACACACATTTGTGCTTCTAACTTGAGTGTTTGTAAATTTTTGTTCTCTTCCTTCCAATTTGAAAATTTGTAAAATATAATATCTTCAGGATGTCACTTAAAGGGATATGTCACTCTTTGCCATATACATACCTTTCCTTGTTAAGATGTTTGGATATTAGAATTGAAAAAATAATAATAATAAAGTTTCATACACTTCTACTTTTGGATGATTGTCCACATAGGAAGACACTTGTTAAATTTAGTAAATATGTGAATCCACTATTATAACTGCATTCATTTTAGTTTCAATGAGTATATTCTGACAATTGCTTAGGAGTTGAGGTTAAACTCATAAACAATAATATTTGAGCTGTGTGGTGATTTACAAGTTGTCAGCATATATGTGTAGGTCAAGTGATACACACACACACATGAGTAGGGATCCACTAACACTCAAGTCTTATACACCACACTTGCACACAATCTCAACTATTCATCTCTCCACTCTCAATGGTTGAGATTTATTGACATCTATTAAAGATAATTATTTTTTTCATCTAAAAGGTCGTAATAAATCTCAACCATTGAAAGTAGAAAGATGAATGGTTGAGATTTTGTGTAAGTGTGGTGTGTAAGACTTGTGTGTAGGTGGAATCCCCCCCTCCTCTCTCTCTCTCTATATATATTGTTTAGGTTTACCTGAAGTTTTACACCAATGAATGATATTCCAATTAAATGTTGTTGCAGTTGTGCTCGTAGAAACTCTCATTGCTATAAAATCTTCTGCAGGTCAATCCATCAGATGTGATAATTTTAGAAGGCATACTCATTTTTCATGATCCTTGTGTCCGGGAGTTGATGAACATGAAGATATTTGTTGATTCAGGTTAAAAAGTTTATGATTACCCCTGTTCCAAGGCAAAATTTTTTTCCACTTTGATCTATAGTTCTGGCTAATTTGGCTTCTAAGGGTAGCTTTTCCTGGCTAAACCATCAAAACCAGTGGTTGCCGAGGGCTAACAGATTTAGAAGAGTGACTAGAGAGCATGTTTTAGCTGCAACATGTTGCTTCATAGTGTTACTAGGATGGGCTGTTACTTTACATTGTAAATTTTCAGTGCAGATGCTGATGTACGATTGGCAAGGAGGATAAGGCGTGATACAGGTGAGAAGGGCAGAGATATTGGCATGGTACTTGATCAGGTTAGTGTTAACTTCATTGTTCATGTTGGTATGTGAATAGTTGGGCTTAATGTACATTGGTATTTGAAGAGTTGGGGCTCATGTTCTTACTTCTTTCAAGTCTAAACTCCCTGATTTAGTGTGCAATTACTTTTGATGCAGTACTCAAAATTTGTGAAGCCTGCTTTTGATGATTTTATTCTTCCAACAAAGAAGTATGCGGATATCATTATTCCCCGTGGAGGAGATAATCATGTAGCCATTGATTTGATTGTGCAACACATTCGTACAAAGCTTGGGCAGCATGATCTCTGTAAAATCTACCCAAATCTATATGTTATTCACTCAACTTTTCAGGTAGAACTCTGGCCCTTCTTTTCTAGTCGCTAACCTAGTTAAATATGAAGGCAATATTGCTTACATTTGCGTGTTTATGGGGATACTGGAGCTTCAAATGTTAGCTGTTTTAAGTCAAATTAGCTTCCTTCTTTCTATTGTTCACCCCCTGTCCATCAGTGCATGGTTGTTTTGGAGGAGAAGGTAATTGGTTCAGCTTCTTGACATTTGATTAATTGCTTTTGGTCTCATGCAGATTCGAGGTATGCATACCCTCGTACGTGACTCTCAAACAACAAAACATGACTTTGTTTTCTATTCTGATCGGTTGATTCGTTTGGTGGGTAAATTTTCCTTTATGCAATTAGTTTATGGTGGTTTCATTATGTTGTAATAACTTTTAGGTCTATAATCTTTTTCAGGTTGTTGAACATGGCCTAGGACATCTGCCATTTACAGAAAAGCAGGTGATCACCCCAACTGGTAAGCTGATGTTTCTGCAAATGGTCTGCTGGACATCAAACTACTTATTTTACACAGTATATGTTAGAACTTTAGTTCAGGTTGGTTTTAAGCTTCAATACTGTATTATTTTGGTTGTTAGAAATTTACTTGTGGTTTCTGGGTGTAGGGTCTGTATATACTGGCGTGGACTTTTGTAAAAGGTTGTGTGGTGTGTCTGTTATTAGGAGGTACTATTCTGTTTTCAGATCTCAGAGGTCTTGACTATTTCAACATGCTTGATGCTGAACAATTTGCTAACATTTTCTAAAACCATCACAAGTGGTGAGAGCATGGAGAATGCTTTGCGAGCATGTTGCAAAGGCATCAAGATAGGGAAGATTCTTATTCACAGGGAAGGTGACAATGGTCAGCAGGTCGGGAAAGTGAATTCATTTCTGATTTCTTTGTGTGCTTGTGTGTTAGGTTTGCTAATATTTTACTGTTTTGTGTTTCATTGGTTGACCAGCTTATCTATGAAAAATTGCCTCAAGACATCTCAGAAAGGCATGTGTTGTTACTGGATCCCATACTAGGAACAGGTTTGTCTCTTTTTATAGTTGATGATGCTCTTTTGTCATACTTTTATGAGTTTTAACTTTTCCATTTCTCATGACCTTTATTTGTAATTATCATCTGGTTTGCATGCCTACCTTACTCCGTGCAAGATCAAGCTACCCCTAGGAAATTTTTTGGTTTTTATTTTTTTGCTTTCTACATAAAAAGAGGCCTAGGTCATCCTGCGAGCTAATCTAAAAGCCACTTTTATTTTTCTTGGCTTGCATGCTGCTAGTCACACACAATCTAGAAGTAGTTCGTCAGATATTCCATTATTGTTCAATCATTACCTGCTAGTTTATAGGGTTTAACATATCGTGGGCTTCTATACAGGCAATTCAGCTGTTCATGCTATTAATTTACTCATAAGCAAAGGTGTTCCAGAGTCCAACATCATATTTCTCAATCTCATTTCTGTAAGTCGTCGTTGCTTTAAATTGGTTCTGGCTTTTCATTCTCTGAAAAGCTTATTTGCCTTTATTCTTTCTGACAGCTACTACAGAGATTTTACTCTTTTTTTTCTGTAAAATCTTGTCTCTTGATTTACTAGGCACCCCAGGGTGTGCATGTGGTTTGCAAAAGCTTCCCAAGAATAAAGATAGTGACATCTGAGATTGATATTGGTCTAAATGAAGATTTTCGTGTTATTCCTGGCATGGGAGAGTTTGGAGACCGATATTTTGGTACGGATGACGATTACCAGCAAGTGGTGGCTCTGTAATAGTTCAGTTAGATTGCTGATGGTTCAACCACAAGTCTTCTGAGATAACATAATGCAGATTCCAAGGAAACAGCTGAATTTTATTGGGTCATGTTGGTCTTTGCAATATCAGTTTCTTTTTTTAAAAAAACAATTTTGACTTGATTACACCTAAAATTCCCTTTTTTTTTTGAAAATTTCATATTTTTTAACAGGAAACCTTGTGTTATTCTTGGGGTGGGGATGCTCTGTACACATCTCCATCTTTCAATCATAAACATCAACAGAACAGCAAGCTTAACTCCCACAGAAGAAGCTTGCTGTAATTTCTATTTGTATGCTTTTTATATAGGGGAGCAAATGACACAAAACTGAATAATTGGTATCCCCAACCTCCCCATGATATCTGTAGTTGTAAATCCTTATATTTTACTTATAAATGATGAAATTCCAAATCAGATGATTCTGTTTCAAATCTTATGCATCCTCTTTATATTATCAATGTTGTGACAGTAACAAAGATACTACTGCCAGCCAGATAATAATCTGTCCTGAAAGAACAGGACGAGAAATGAGTCTTTTCACACAATATTGAATTGGGGATAAAGCAGAGATTAAGTGCAACCACCCACTGCTTTATCCAAGGATGATAACTCTCCATGGGCTAATCTTTTGACACGCGTTGGTCCTCGGTATGGGATTTGGTTCTGTTGGTATATTCTCTATGAGCTGATCTATAAAGTGTGGTACTTGTCTGAGCTTCTTTTTACACTTTCGCCCTGTACTTATCCTTCCATCCACTTCCCTCCTAATCTACCTTACCAACCATGTCTGCTTTTGTAGGGAAGTATGCAGGTACACTCTCTTCTCTTTAAAATTTAATTGGTAATATAAAGTCACAAGCATTCATCATATTTATTTCTATTTGTTTTGTGCAGAGGAACTGATCAAGAATGCCAAGTATATTGCCACTCCAGGCAAGGGTATCTTGGCAGCAGATGAGAGCACTGGCACCATAGGCAAGCGTTTGGCCAGCATCAATGTGGAGAACATTGAGTCCAACCGCCAAGCCCTCCGCGAGCTCCTCTTCACCTCCCCCAACGCCCTTGCTCACCTCTCTGGTGTCATCCTCTTTGAGGAAACCCTCTACCAGAAAACATTAGATGGGAAACCATTCGTTGAAGTCCTCCAGGAGAACAATGTCGTTCCTGGTATCAAGGTCGATAAGGGCACTGTTGAGATAGCAGGCACCAATGGTGAGACCACCACACAAGGGTTCGACTCTCTTGGAGCACGGTGCCAGCAGTACTACAAGGCAGGTGCACGTTTTGCCAAGTGGCGAGCTGTCCTCAAGATTGGTCCCAATGAGCCGTCTGAATTGGCAATCCAGCAGAATGCTCAGGGGTTGGCTCGTTATGCCATCATCTGTCAGGAAAATGGGCTGGTGCCTATTGTTGAGCCTGAGGTGCTAACTGATGGATCTCATGACATCAACAAATGTGCTGCTGTGACTGAGACTGTGCTTGCAGCTGTTTACAAGGCACTTAATGATCACCATGTGCTGCTTGAAGGCACTCTCTTGAAGCCTAACATGGTCACCCCAGGCTCTGATAGCCCAAAGGTAATGCAATCTTCATCTTCTTCATAATCCTCTTGTTTCTTTCTCCTTCTAAACAGTTTGTTCCTTCCACAATCCACAGGTAGCACCAGAGGTGATTGCAGAGTACACAGTAACTGCACTCCACAGGACAGTACCACCAGCAGTGCCAGGGATTGTGTTCTTGTCTGGGGGACAGAGTGAGGAAGAGGCAACACTGAACCTGAACGCAATGAACCAGCTAGACGTATTGAAACCATGGACACTTTCCTTCTCATTTGGGCGAGCCCTGCAGCAAAGCACACTCAAGACGTGGGGAGGAAAGAAGGAGAATGTATCAAAGGCTCAAGAAGCATTCTTGTTGAGGTGCAAAGCTAACTCTAATGCCACTCTGGGGAAGTATGTTGGAGGAAGTGCTGGTGGATTGGCCTCTGAGAGTCTGTTTGTGAAGGGTTACAAGTACTGATACTACAAGCTTCTGCATGACTCCAAAATCTAAATTTGTATAGCATAAAACCCTTAGTCTTCCGTCTCAGTACATATTCTTCAGCGACTGCTCCAGTTGTTAATATGAATATATAGTCTTTTTTTTTTCCCCTTCCGAAGCATTTTCTTTCACAAGGCCACATCAATTAACAATCAAAAGCATTATTGCGAATAATCGAATTTTCTTAATGAGGCAGAAACAGTAACAGGAAGAGGAAGCAGACTTAAGCATTAAGGTGGAGAATTTATTTAGGAATTTCTTATTCAGAGTGCTGCAATTTCAAAAGCAAAAAGGAAGTTATTCGAATACAAACAACTGTTGTTTTCTAGCTTTAAATCTGCCTGCTCCCAGCTTTTCCTAATCCCCCAACAACACATTGGTCCCACTCATAATCAAAAGCTTCTTTTCCTCTTTACTTTCTTTAATCCATTTCCAATTCTATTAAGTAACCACTAACCTTAAATCTGCATCTCCTCTTCCATTGCTCCCTTCAGAAGGTTTTATCCATACAATCTGTTCAAAGATGCTTCCCCTCGGAGCGGCACCCCCACCACCACCAGCTAGAATCTGTTCAAAGATGCTTCCCCTCCGAGTGCCACCCCCACCACCCCCACCACCAGCAGCTAGAATCTGTTCAAAGATGCTTCCCCTCCGACCGCCAACGCCACCACCATCACCACCAGCCTTGCCACGAGTACAGAAGCGAACCATTCTCCAACAACCTCAACCTCGCCAGACCAATCCACTAGTATGGTGTGCTGCAATCCTCTGCCTCATATTTAGCCTTATTCTCATCTTCTTTGGAATAGCGACTCTGATAATCTTCCTAGCCATAAAACCGAGAAACCCAATGTTTGACACTCCTAACGTACGCCTCAACACCATCTATTTTGACTCACCTGAGTATTTTAATGGTGACTTCGTCTTCCTTGCAAACTTTACCAACCCAAATAAGAAAATCGATGTGAGATTCGAGTATCTGGACATAGAGTTGTACTTTAATGACAGGCTGATAGCAGCTCAAGCTATTCAACCTTTCTCTCAAAGAAGAGGAGAAGTAAGGTTGGAGTCGGTACACCTGATATCAAGCTTGGTCTATCTGCCACAGAATCTTTCCATGGAACTGAGGAAGCAGGTTCTGAGCAATAGGATCCAGTACAACATAAGAGGAACCTTTAAGGTGAGAGCCAATATGGGTCTGTTCCATTTCTCCTACTGGTTGCATGGGAGATGCCAGCTAGAAATAACCGGTCCACCAACTGGTGCATTAGTTTCACATACTTGCACAACAAAGAGGTGAAGATTGCAGAAGCATGATTCAGAACCATCAAAGATTAATTAACCTGTCCTGTTTTGAATTCAGATAAGTTCTAATGTAAAGAACATCTTGGCAAAGCTCTATATCAAAGATACGACACTATCTGCTTACAATCTCAAGTTTAAGTTTACCTTCTTTTCCCCTGCAGAATCTCAAACTCCATATACAGAGTAGACATGTTTGCTGTTGGCATGTTCACTTAAGTGGTTCAACAACAAAGAGAGTATGAAAACATCAACCGGATGCTTATAAAGATAACTAGGATAACCTGATAAAATGTTGAATAAAGAACACAAGATGAGAAATAGATAAACTGATTTTAAGGGTCTTCATCCCATTCCTAGTACAGCTTTTTATCTGCAAATGAAACAGAAAGCAGCTGTTATTTGTATCTGAATCTTGATACCAAGTAGATTCCAGTCCTCATCTCCCTATCCTCCTTTGTAAATTACAGAATTAAGAGTAACCCAGATCCAATTGTCAACAATTTAATTTTTTTTATCCTACACTTTAGGAGAAACCTTGGCTTTTCTAGATCCTTCAGATGAAATAATTCAGAAAGACAACATCAAGATGATAGCTTAAAAGTAGCAGTGGTTATGTACCAATATAATAATTTTAAACTACAATATATTTAAATAATTAAACCCTTGACTACCAGAAATTATGCATAACCATTTAATCAAAATCATTTCCAATCCTCTAATCTTAATCATTACTGTTCTCTCATATGAGGCAAGCTCCTAAAGTTAACTCAAAATTTGTTTCAAATTGAATTCCATCCCCTCATATTAGTTAGGAGAAAAATAATAATAACAACATAAAATAGAAGCTAAAAAAGAAAAAAAAAAGAAGAAAAAAAAAGAGACGATTAAAATACACATGCAAGAAGAAAATGGCTGCCAATGCAGTTAATATATTCCAAGAAGTAACTCATTCATGCATTATTGAAAATCTTCCAAAATACAATGTTCACATAGTAACATTTTAAGAACCTGTGACTTCATTCCTCATATTAATTAATTAATAAAGAGCACAAAACTATGAGAAAAAACAAAAATTATAGAATCAAAGAAAGTATGGACTGAAACCTATTCCATGACTTCTCTTCATCTAGCATCAACTTCTGAAGGTGTCTTTGCCACAATTGATAATGCATGTAATCCACTCTGCAACTCCTCTTGCAACAGATCATATATTAACCTATGCCTCTTAACCAAACTCTTCCCTTCAAATTCCTTTGAAACGATTCTCACAGTAAAATGAGTCTCCCCATCACTGCCCCTCACACCAGCATGCCCAGCATGCTGAGAAGAAATATCCTCCACTTCAAGTTCAACAGGACTAATCTCTTTCTCTAACTTCTCCTTTATCCTCATTCCTCGACTCCCCAAACCACCCCAATTCAAACTCGTACTAGAATTTCTCTCACTCCCCTTCTCAGAACTCAAATCCTTACCATCACCATCAGCATTTGCGCTCCCAATTGAGCTTCTATCACTGCTTGGTCCAGAACTCAGATCCTCAACATAATTAGGCCCTGAAGTTGAAGAGCCACCACCCTTTTCAGCCTCCATTACCAACTCAAGCGCTTTCCTTTGCATCAACTTCAACATATTCAAGAATCCATTATTCCTGGAAGGCGTCAAGCTCTGCTGCAGCCCAAGAAGCACAGCAAAATCTGGAGATATTCTCAAAATTTCCTCCACGGGCCTACCAGACAAGCCGTTAACAAGCAAAGCAGCAAGCCCCTTCGTGAGTACAGAATCAGAATCTGCTTCATACACAACGTTCTTACCTTCATCAAGATAGGCCCTGACCCAGACCTGAGAGACACAACCCTCCACTTTGTTCGCGCTAGTTTTGAACTGGGTATCCAGCGGCTTCAAGTTCTTCCCATAAAACATAAGCTGTTCATACTTGGCCTTAGGTTCCTGTACAGACTGGAACAGTCTGACGATTTCCTGGAGCTTTGGAGGAAGCTCTTCAATGGGTTGCAAGTTTGCGGTGCTGGAAGGAGGCGATGGTGATGATTGTAGCTGAGGTACTTTCTTCGTGGGGATTTTCTGGAAGGAAATGGGTCTAGGTCTACAAAAGAAAACGAAATTTGCTTGCTTTGCAATGAAGATCAAGGGTTTTGTGGGGTGCAACAAAGACGTTGGGATGCTGGTTGCAAATAATCGAAGAGAAGCCATTGAAGACGAAATATTTTCAAAGACTGCAAATTTTACCCCAAAGAACCAATCTTTACTTCAGGAAAGCGCAGCAAAGCTCATAGCAAAACCTAGCAAAAAATTTGTTACTCAGAATTCAATAGAGATGGGATTCTCTCATTAGCCCATAAGTTTGCACAGAATTCCTCCAAATGAGATTGAAAACGTGAATTTATCAGAAGTAACGGGAAAAAAAATTTCAGAACAATATGAATTTTCTGAAACAGAGGACCAAGGGATGAGAATCGGAGAGGCGGCTGAGAGTGGGACAGGATGCCGTTCAGATTAGGCAAACAAGAAAGAAATAAAACAAGGCCCCTTCCGTAAGGCAAAACTTGCAAAAGGCCTCAAGGAGAATATGGGCTCAGCTCACAGGGCTCCAACTGAATCAATCCAGGCCCTAAATTCCTATTGCAGAGGAGAAACAATTTAAGTCAGTATAAAATTCAGATGTTGGGAAATTGGGGATTAGGGAATTTGAGCAGAGGCCCAGTCAAGATTCAAAGTTAAGGTAGTTTCCTAGTTGGGGATTAGGGAATTTTGGTTAGGAAAAAATTAAGGCAAGTATCATTTCAAGAAAAAGTTAAACCAATCAAGATGAAACACAGTGAACATCGATGAGTGTTAAGTTTTGTAAAGGTAAAGCTCATAAAAAAAAAATAGTTTTGTAAAGGTAAAGACTAAAGAAACTCTCAGATCTCTGCAATGCACTGTGAGAAAGAAGAAGAGAAGAGGTTCAATGGGTCAAATTTTCTCTATTTTTTTGTCTATTTTTAGAGTTAGAGAAGACAGAAATGATCACTGCCTGCCCACCTCTCTTGAATCTTTACTGTTAGATGGAGGAGGAGATGACAATCCCTGCTTGGATATTGTCATTCACTCAAACATTAGCACGGAATTGCAACAAGATGTGGAAGAAAACAAGCAGGATTCTATACACACGCAGGATTTAGACTCTATAGTTGAGATACAAGAAAAAGATGGGGATGGGAAGAGGGAAGAAGATAGGTGGATACAGCACTATTGCAGTTCCCAGAAGATGTTGTTGGTTGGTGAAGGAGATTTTTCATTCTCTGCTAGTTTGGCAAAGGCTTTTGGTTCAGCCAGCAACATGATAGCTACTTCTCTCGACTCCAGAGGTAAGAAAAATTGCATGCATTTTCCAGTATTTCATTTTTTCTTGCT